TTCTGGGATTTGTTTCTTTGAAAAATATTTATCTTTCATCTCTCCCTACCACAACATAGCATACAGAAAACCTGCCCGCTTTTCCCAATAAAATATTTAAGAGATGTTTTATTTTCCATATAACAGTATATGCTTCTGTAATATTTCTTGAAAAAAAAAAATCTATCCTTTTGCACTAGATATTTTTGAAAATTTTGAAGTAGTTTTAAATAATTTATGAAAAAGAGCCATATTCTCAATTTTATCTTTAAAACCATTCCTAAACTTGCATGATTGCATCGCTCATTTGTTACAAAATAGTTATTGTTAGTGAATCAAAATCTAACATGGAACATTAAACAACATGAGTAACTTTAGACCTGCTCTGCAGTATATACAAAACAGGGAAGGTCACTTTGCTGTCAAGGTAAAGGTCAATTTATTGCATCTGCTGAAGGTAACTGTGCAGTCACTGGGCCAGCTCCTAAGAACTGCTGAGCATCCCCGGCTCCCGCTCACACGAGCAGCGACTCCGAATGCTCAGCATTTCTGAGGCCCCAAGTTAATAAAAAGCACCAAGTGTTACAGACTTAAAGTGCTTTGTTTGACTTAATAAATAGGAAAGTGTATTTATTTTTAAAACCAAATACAGTTAGTTGTCAGTATACAATTTTTTGCTGTGATAGAATAAATGTTTACTTATCCTACAAAGCACAAATATCATGACAGAGTTGTAACAGTGTGATGCAGTTTCTCTGTACAGTAGTTCTTAATGTTGCGATTTATTCAGAAATAAATTTATGTTATGATGTGTGTCCTCTTTGCCTCCCTAAAAAGTTCATGAATGTGATATGGGGTTTTTTGACCTATTAAAGAATATTTGCCTGCCATCCTTCTAGCTTCTCAAAGCTCTGCTTCTGAATGAAACATCTGACCTGTGGCCCTGAACAAAACAAGTCAGAGCAAGCTCCGGGTCTCACCTCAGTACCAAAGCTATGGCTTTACTCAGGTTTCACAACTCATTCAAGTCACACAAAGCTAATAGCAACACTCTTAGTATCACAGTAAAATAAGAGAAATTACACTTTCATGCCAAAAATTAACACCAGAACAACTCCAAACACACCAAAACTGTACTAGTGCTCACTCCATCTGTTTTCAGTACCTGCAGAAGTGAGCGGGGAAGACAAAAGTTCCGGCTTTCTTCTGCTTGTTTGATTTTGCACAGATATTTACTGCCCCACTGCCTAGGTGTAAAGGTATTTCTACTGCTAAACAGAAAAGGAAACCAACACTTAGCTGAGTAAATCAAAACCAGACTAGTCCGCCATTTAAAAAGGCTGAAAAAAATTAAAGTCAACTTTAGTTACACATAAATGAGAACTTCATACTACATACAATTTTAAGTTAAATCTCTGCTGTTCATGTCTCTCCATATACATGACGCAGGTTGTTAATACCCCGAGGGCGTGGAGGGGGTGGCTGCTCACTATCTTTTCCAATATGAACTAGGACCCAACAAATGAAACTCAAACAAGCCAGATTCAGGGCAAGCAAAAAGAGGAGATGCGTTACTAAATGAGAGGATGCAGAACTTGTACAGAGGTTCAAGAGGGAGCCAGAGAAGTACTTGAGGGAGATGCAGTGCAATTTACTGAATAAGACAAACCCCATGAGCCCCAGGAGATGCCCTGGCCACCAGAGTCCACCCATGGGGACAGCAGACACTTGCCTCAGCACCTGCTGCGGCGCTGGTCCCAGCCAGGGCTGCCCCTCACCTTATTGCTCTGCATGAAGGCTCCAGGGAAAGGTGCCTCCCACCCTGGTACTGACTCCATCACCCTCCTAATGAAGAGCAGAATTTGGCCTGTAGGTACATTAATTAAAATGCTGGAGAATTACCTACTGAAAAATAAGTATTTAAAACCTTCATTTTTAGTTTGGTTTTGTCAAGGGTCTTTTTAATGTTGATATCATTAGAAGCTGAAAAACTATAATATCCCTCATTTTTTTCATAACACTGAAGATTTTCATAGTATCTTCAAGTAAATTAATCATTTCATTGTGGTCTCTGATAAAAGTGGTCACCTGTTTACAGTTACCCTATTAAATTCAGCAGGTAACCTTTCTGGAGAGGGCAATTTTATTGTTTCTCTTGTCCAGCTCCATGCAGAGCTGTGAGACAGACGAGCACAGGAATGTCACCATAAACCCTGCACTCTGACTTTCAACACGTCAGGGATAAAAACCCACTGCTCCATTGAAATAAAGAGCCCACATGAGCTACTTAATAAATAAAACAAATTCCAGCTGAGAAGGAAAGCACGTCCATACTAGCCAATTTAAGAATTTTAATTCAAGCCAGAACCATTCCTAAGCCTTTGCTAAATATGAACAAACTCATAATGCCACTACTTCAATTTTTCAAAGACACTCTAAAGCCAGTCATCATGAGGAACAGGCCCTCAGAAAGCAACTCGCAGCTGTACAGCATTTAGCAGGACAGACTGTTAAATTAGACAGCTGGCCTATCAAGCTAATTAAAACAATTTGCAATGAAGACAGGTCTGGCTGATGGATAACGTGCCCTTCTCCCAGCTTCAGCTGGAAATTAGACAGTAAAGCACAGCAAACTGCAAAATATAACCAAGCAGGATATAGGTCATACCCTTTCACTAACTACCCAGGAAATGCTAGTGATCACAGAAGGAGCTGAGAAAGAAATTCTCACAAAACACCACTTTTAAAACGTGAGTGGGTATGAGTATTATTATCCTCATCTATTCAGAAAAGAAATTGAATCTCAAGAGATACAAAGCACACATCAAGAGTACACATCACGTGCTCACATGGAAATCCTCGTCCTTGCCTTGCAAGCCCCTGTTCTGTCCTGGGGAAGTTATATGATACAAGGTACGGGCTTCTTTCCCAGAAAAACAAACTTGTGTATTCACAGAGGTACATGCTGGAAGGATTCAGAGATGTAAAGGACAGAAACAACACAGTAAATATGATTTCCACTGTGCCAGGCCTCACTGAAGCACACTTCAAGAGCCTCCCAAGGTAATCCTTCTCAATAAAGTCACAGTGAACCAAGTTTGCCAGCATTTCAGGGTAATGCAAAACCCACATCCCACTCCAACCACACAGTGATTAAAGTGGCAGCTCCAAGAGTGTAAGGTGTGTAGAAGCCAAATGTTTTTATGGCATTAAAAAGGCACCAGGCAATAGAGTTAGAGCACACACACACGCTATTTTGGCTTCAGGGACTGAAGTAGGATTAGAGACAGGGATCAAGCTGCTACCAGAGACATATTTTAGTATGATACATCTATACAATGCACTTTCAACATATTTATCAAATCTACATATTGGTAAACCAAGGCGCAGAGAGCCTAACATCAGAGCATTCACGTGATGGTACCTAGAGTACTACTGAAGTTCTTATGAGGTACCAAGTCAGCACACTTCTCAGCAGTGCTATGAATCACACCAGATGTGAATGTATTTCACATTCGAGCACAGAAACCTGGGCAACTCATCCTGAAAAGCAATTCTTACTCACTCAGTGAATCTAGGGAAAGTCAGAAATAGAGCCCAGGTGGCCTCCCAGTCCAGTGCTTGCTCTACAAACCTCAACTCACTCACAGTTTCGCATAAAAATAGGGCAATAGCTCAAAGCCAAGAGCTACAACAGATGTTTGATTCACTGAACCACTAGCACAGCATAAGAAAAAAAAAAAAATAAAGGAAAAGGCAACATAAAATAACCCAACGTGAATGATTCAGAGAAAAAAGAAAAATCTACTTCCTAATCCAAATCTACTTTCTAGTCCAAACAATTTTTATTTTTTTTTTTACTTTGCGATGGTTGCACAGCAAGTTAAATTTCAGTTTTTAACTTTGTAGCAGTATCTGTACACATTTCATAACATTAATTTTCCTCCATTTTTGTCAGCTAGAAATCCCCCATGTCACACTTGTAAGCACAGGCACAAAGTGATCTATGGACACTGGGTAATTCTAAAGTCGCACGGGACTACACTGCCCTTCCTGCCCCTTTTAATTCCGGATTACTCAGATACACTGTTGATATCCTAACCCGATGCACACGGCAACAGCAACCACCACAAGCACTGCAGTAACATTAATATCAGCCACTTTGCCTACTGGCAAAGGTTTAATTTTAAACGCTCTGCAGCACACTGCTTAGGTCTCCCACAACACGACACTACTTGAAACAACCAGGATATTTGCCAAGTGATGACAGGCACTTTTGTTTCTTCATTTACACACAAGGATGCTGGCAAGCACTCAGAGACAGTCAGAATCCATCAGCATTAGTAACTTCCTATTAAATCTAACAACATTTAGAAATTCAAGTCCATAACCACCCAGAGATAGACAATATAAACAACATACCTTCAAGTTCATTCTTTGCTGTGCATCTCCTTTCTTCTTTCTTTCAGTCAACACACATACTTTGCTCGGTCCTACCCTCTTCATCCTTCTTCCAAGGCAGCCAGAAGAGACCCGTCAGCTCTGTTCCTTCCCTACTCCCCTACAAAGGGCAACTGGAGTTTCAGGTGCTCTGCTATGGAAGTTGGGAGAGCTCTGCACAGGTGAGACTTGTTGGAAATTGCTGGTGAGACCTAAACCTGGGCCAGAGCTCATTGTAGGGTGGTAAATAACTTGCAGGAGTTCCTCATCCACTTCTCAGTTTATGTCACGATCCTTAACTCCAAATCCTTGGTGTGTAGAGTTTTGTGTTGGCCATAATCTTTGGGCCAGGATTCAGAGTTGGAGTCACCACCCATATTATATTTTTACCTCAAGTGAAAATGGGAGAATAAGGGCTGAGCAGAATGAATGGGAAGATGTGGGCAAGTATGAAAGGGGGTGAGTGGGAGTTTAACTACAGCATGCATGCAACAGTTAATAGCAATGCAGTTCACAACTGGTTGCTGGTTTTCTCCAGAAATACCAAGTGGGATCTTGTATTACAAGTAGCAAAACTGGCATTTTAATTCAATACTTTTTATTATACAACAAAAAAAAAGGAATACAAAAGTACTCAGAGCAAGTGCATGACATCACCCCTTTCACACCTGAGGGCACTATAATGCTGTATTTTTTTTTTTTTTTATTAAGAGCATTACAAGTTAAAAATGACACAGAAAGAAATGGGGTCATCCTGGATGACTGGATTCATTCACACTAATGATTATTTTTCTCAGGTGACTGAGATAACACAGCCAGACCCTTCTTGGTGGTACCCAGTGAAGAGGCTACATGCACAGATTGAAATACAAGAAAACATTCCATTAAAACACAAGGAAAAAATAACCCAACTTTTTTTTCATGTGATCAAACATGAAGCAGGTTGCCCAGAGTAACTGTGGAGTCTCCAACCTTGGAGATATTCAAAACCATGTCAGTCCTGGGCAGCCTGTTCGGCTGACAGTGCTTTGAGCAGGGGTCTTTTACCGGATGATCTCCAGAGGTGTCTTCCAACTTCTACTCTTCTGTGATTCTATATCTACCAGACATCAAGGCTATCAAAATCTGGGTAACTTTTCTACTTCAACAATGCTGAAGGTGAACAGAGGGTAAAATAAAACAGATCTGAAAGACTGAGTTTATTGACTGTGAAACTCACAAAGTAGGCATATACCAAACTGGATCTTTCCTTCTCTTCAGTCAGTGCCATATTCTACAGGTGTTGTCCTTGCTCCCTAGCAATGAACACACATTGTGAAGGAATCACTTAGCTGTATCACATAATTTAGCCAATTTTGTTAACACCAACATCAACAATCTACCCAGAATGCCAAGGAGCTAGAGAAATATTTTCCCATCCATGACTAGCAAGAAACAACAGACCCACAGCAATATTTTTAGCTACGACCATCCTGCATCCCATATTTTGGTAGTTCAGTCAAACAATCAAAGCAATCACAAATACTCTGTTCACATATTTTCCCACAACTTTGTCTGAAATGAAGGAAACCTGAGCAGAGTTCAGTGGCAAATATACAAGAGGTGTGCTCCCATTTAAAAAGCTTTGCCTTTTGCTCATGCAGACCTCCCTCACTGCAATGGATTGTGAGTAAATGGCTTAGTCACTGCTCAGGTGTTAGTATATGCCCATAGGAGACACAGTAGGGTATGCCCATGCCTTTATACAAATCCGTTCACGGCCATACGCACTTAAATCTCAGTTCAAAAGTGAGTTTCTAGCTTTCCTTCAATATATTTTAAGTCACTGCTAGTACATCTATTTGGGATAAGGCCCCAGGAAACTTTTCCGACTCATTTTTTTTACCATAACAAGATTTCAAATGTCTCTCAAAAAAGGGGAAAAAAAAAAAGTAATATATTAGTTACCTGTAATGATTATATCGCCTTTGTAATTGAAAGCGCAGGAGAATATCTCATCAGTATGACCCTCTAATACCTGAAGGCAGTGTCCAGTAGCTGCATCCCAGAGTCGGGCTGTTTTATCAGAGCTGGCCGTCAGTATACGATTGCCTTTAGGGTTGAAACATACCTTTTAAAAAATACAGAAAAGAGTTATATTACCAAGGAAGTTAATATGCCTGGAAATCGCTGCATATCTACTGATAAAAAGATGAAAACAGGAACCAGCAACTCCTGTATTCAGCTTTTCAGCTAAAATTAAGGACAGTATTCCACTAAAGTCACCCTGGCAAACTTCTGTGTCTTAAAACTTTGTGTATGTACAAAGGTCTACACACAATGACCTCACTATAGAATCAAGACTTCAGAATATTATCCACCAAAATTGCAATTGCTCTACAACTGTAACAACCTTATTTAAATGTTATCATTATTCCAATATAACATTTCTACAAATTTCATAGAGTTCTACATTACATAACATACGTCTCTATAACGTCAAAAATTCCACTGAAGGCAACTTTTTTTGTAGTATGTCTTCATACTTGTTAAACGTCCACTGCCAAAATTGCATGCATTTCCCGATAATCAGATATATTTTTATAGCACTAACCAGACAATACCACGTTTATCAAAATTCCCCTTCTCCAGTAATCCGATTTCCAAGTAATAACCTTCCCAAGTGATCACAGCTTCACAGAACATCTGCAGAAATAGACTGACTTTTCAACATGCTCCCGGATGAGCAGATTCTCCCTTCCAGCAAAGAAATCATGCCAGCACTAAGGACCCTGGTGAAGCTGTCCCCAGCCTACCCACATGTCAGCATGTATTCAGGCTGCATTCCTCAGTGCATCTACACTGAGTGTGAAATATCCCAGTGGGTATATTAGTGAGGAAAGACTAGCCCTTCTGAACTTAACATTCTCTCAGCAGAGTGATTAGAATAGCCAAGCACGAGAGCTTTGTTCACTAAGAACCATACTAGCTTCAAATTATTAATATTTCAATTACAAAATACATCAAACAAAAGCAGCACAGCCTTAGCACACTAGCCCGGAAGCTAGTGAAAACTATCCACTTGAAAGAAGGTGCAAGTATTAAATAACAAAGTTTGAAAAATGTGTACAATTTTGGAAGTAACTGAATGTATTTGGAACTGAACTTTAGCATTCAAAATTGAGCCAGACAAGATTTCCAGCAAAGTACATGAGCACACTCCTCATGACCAAGTGATTTTTGAAACAGGCTTTATACTCCCTTATGCACTTCTGAAAATAAGACTATGTATTTTGCCACAGAAATATGCTTTTTCTGTTCCATTCCATAAATTGGGTATGCAGAGAAATGAGAAAGAGTAAAGAGAAGCAGATCTGGTAGAAGCAAGGAATAAGGATGATGGTAAAAGCCTCAAAGGCAATAGCCTTAAGATGTCATCAAGAGACTAAAAAACTTGTGCTTATTCTGTTGGAGAATCTGGGGACTCTAAGGGCTTATTAACACAAGTAGAATTTAGGACAGGTCAGACAGAAGCTGTATTAACTATGATCATAGTGAGAGAACATTTGGACAGCATCCCTCTCTCTGCTCCCTGTCCTCTGCCAAGTGATTGCAGAGACCCAACCTATACAATGTTCTAGAAAAACAGGTAAGGACAAACAATCATTTCAATGTTATCTAAGCCAGGTATCTTTTCTTAAATAGCTTGCTAACTGCCACAACTCTAAAGAACCAAATAGTAAATAACATGACAATATCGAGAGATGGCTATCGGTGGAGCACACCCAGTATTATCTTAGAAGTAGGGAGTTGGAAACAACCATTGACTGATAGCTTTTAATCTAAAGGATTGTTCTCTTAGTAAAGACAACTTCTTAGCCAGACCTCTCAATCTCAAATATTAACAGTATTACCATGACATTTTAAACAGTATTCCTGTGCCATGGGATAACTGGTGGATTGGATGTAACACGTAATCAAATAAGGAAAGGTGCAAACCACAAACAACTTACCTTTGAAATTTCACCTCCATGCCCTTCTAGCTTTGCAATGCACTCTCTTGTTTCTGCATTATAGACTCTTGCTGATCCTGGTGTAGTAGATTAGGAGCCATTTGTGATTGTTATGCTTAAGCATGCATTTCAGTAAGAACATTTTAATAGGGTCATTTAATAGGGCCTCATTCTCAGGTTTGATTTCAAAAGAAATAGAAGACATTCTTAACACAGTTTCCCCCATGGATAAAATACGTCAAAAAGAGTCTGTAATCTGGTTGGAAAAGGTTGACTGCTTAATGGTTTCTGCTGGAAAACTTCTAAAATGTGAACACAAATGTCCACGCAGAACATGAACCACTTAAGTCTTTAATTTCAGAATGCATGTACAGTAAATTCAGAAAGTGTTCACTATATTTCAGATATTCATTCTGTTTAACAAACTATTAGTCACATTTAATAAACTATTGTTTACATCTCAGGAAACTTTTTACATTCTCTTATGTCTTAATTTAGCAACTACAGCAATCAGATCCAAATAGTGTCCCCCATCCACACTGGTATCCTGATTCTGAAATCACAAATCAAAACACTTAAGTATGTAAAAATAATGACACGTAATTACACACTATAATATAACACTGTGCAGGTGAATACAAAAAACTATTTAAAGCGCTTCCTAAAAAACCAGTAAGCATTCAAAACTGCTGCATACCAATAGCAAAATTGCTTCTTTCACTACGTCTTTATTGTCTATTCTCTTGCTATGCATTTGGAAAGCCTAGTTGCAAATCCACCATTAAAATTCCAACTACCTTTTTCATTTAAGCCTAAATTTGAGCAACCCTAATCCAACTTCACTCCAGAACTACTTACCTAAACATTTAAAATGCATTTTCTCTCACAAGCGAAATATTTCCCAGCAAGTTTGAAGTTAAAGAGGAAAGATTTATTGAGTTAATTAAAGTGTGAAAAAAAAAAAGAAAATCTTCTCTGGAGAAAACTTCTTAAGTTTAATGCCAAACTTTCTATAATGTAACAAACATTGCTTGATTCTATAGTTTGGAGTCACAATAATCCTCTTTCATCAAGCTACATTCAAAGCAAACGCAAAGGAAAAGGACAAAGATGTTTTATGCTACTATTGCAATTCTTAGAGCAGTCCCAGTCAATTCACTTACCATCAGCAGAGGCAGCTGCAATACGCTGACCAGCATAATCAAAGCAGACATCCAATATTTCATCACTGTGACCTGTTAAAGTTGCTATATGTGCCCCAGTCATAGCATTCCACAGCTGCAGAGATAAATAAGGGTAAATTTTTTGCTTATTTTGACTAATTTACTTGATAGATATCTAGTTGATCCACAAAGCAACATGTAAAGGCCCTTTCTGACAATGTATTAACCTGAAACCTGGATATAAATCAATAAAGAGTCATTGTTTAATCAGTTTTATGAAGTCTTATATATTTTTATTATTTTAGCATATTGATTAAACAAGCCTTAAAACATTTATTTTTATTTAACTGGACTTCACTGAAATGAATAAGCTTATAGGTTTTGCACTTAGCTGTAAATTCTTTAATTAATTACATGTACTAGTTTAAAATAATGCTCTTCCATTTGCAAAAGATATGTTTTTATATATCAAGTAGCTGTATTCAGCACATACTCAACTTTCCTACCATGCATGTTTTGTCCATTGATCCAGTGACAATGAGAGAACAGTCCCAGTTGAACTGTGCACTGCTAATCTCTCCTCGGTGACCTATTAAAATATGTAACATCCTACAAAAAAAGAGAATTTACATTTTTAGAGTATATTTTGATACACTCAAATTATAAGTAAGCTTATAAAATGGTACAGTTAAGGTGTCAATTCTTCACCATTTTATCCATTAAAGCAATTAAACGGAGTGGTACAGCTCATTTAGGATTCTAGTACTACATAAATTCGATTTTTTATCTTTGAGACAGAGAGAAAGTAAGGAATAAAATGGAAAAGCCCACCCTTCTCTTTCAAAAACATTTTAGTGAATGTATTTCCAGTGAAATGTGACGACTTTCTGGTGCCAGAAACAGATTTCTTGCATTCATCTACATACAGAGCACATACAGCAAGTTCTTCCGCGTTACTCTCCCATTATCCTACTTCAACGAACTGTAAACAGCACATCTTTAAAACTCCATACAATCAAAACTATTTATAAAATCCACTGAAGATCAAATAGAACTTAATCAGGTACTTAATGTGAACATGTTCCCAAGTAACAGGCAAATGACGGCCAAAATGAAATATGATTTCTAATCCTCATTAATCCTAAACTTCTTGATGCACAAGACTGGCAATACCAGTTCCATTAAATTCTTCAGCTTTAGCTGAACAGAGAGGGTAAAATTAGCCATTATTGCTTCCAGTGAGTTAATGGCCTATAAGGCAACGAACCCTAAAGATGATTAATTGCTATGCATGTATTAAAGGATTAGTAAATTAGGTTATTATCACAATGCTAATATCACTGTATCATTAATAGAAAACTGCTTGAACTAATGGATAAAGTAATGACTAGAAAAACAACTAAATGAGTTTAAGTGACTGAAATGGTTTTATTCATTGCATAAGGGTAGCTAAATTAATATATATGCTAAACGAACAGCAAAGCAAATCTCCTAGGCAATTGAATTTTCTATGTTTATGATAACAAAAACTTGATTAAACTCATGTCATTTTATAGAATTACTTCTTTTACTTTTGAACAATATGAGGTGTGCACCATTGTGATTGTGTAGACCTTTTTACAGTAAAAACAAAAATCAACAAGCAGAAAACAACAGTGGAAAACTTCTTAATTTTGTGATCATATTATTTTGCCATAGAAACTGCTTTTAATGTAACACTTGATACCCAAAATATCTAATAATGAAAAAAGTTTTAATTTAAAATTTTAACACTTTAATTTCCAAATTTTGAAAAGGTAGTCCAGGCTTCAAGCTTCAACATAAATATATGATCAATAATCAGAATAAATTGCAACGTGTGGAAAGTCTCACAGAAACCACTATCTATCAGATAAATAATTAAAAAGAATCCAGAAAAAAGGCTTGTGAAATGCCATAAGAAAATTTCCATTTAAATTATTAAAAAAAAAATTGAAATAAATCGCTTCAGTCGTATTAACACTTCTTTAGCCTTCAGTTTCCAGTGAAACTTAATATATAGATGTTATAATATTTGCACCAGAATTGTAAATAAGAAACCGTCTCTCAGCATCTCTCAACTCCTGACTCCAGTTACAGGCTGTTGATTTGTCAAACGAAGCTCTGAAGACACCTTCAACTGAACTGTAGCTGACTGTATCTGCCATGGAGAAATTATTGATGAAATACAGACCTGTATTCCAAAAGCATGTCCTGTGTTGTTTGTGTGTGTACCCCTCCCTTTTTTCTTTTTTCTTTTTTTTTTTTTTTTTAATAATTTTAACATTTTATGAAGAAAATCTTGAACCTTTTTGAGATTTCTTGTCCCTACATCAACTTCACTCAGGACAATTCTGGATACCTACCCAGAATAAAACTGAGGAACACAGTCACTCACTAGAATCAGGCAGCAAAACTACGAGAAACTCCAAGTTCAAACTCAAATTCTGAAAACAATCTTTCTCTTGTATTTCATATGGTTAAAGACAGGCCCACACAACTTCACCTACAAGATTTTTGCAAATCTATCTGAACCTGTATACAGCATAGTATGATTTGCTCACAGTGTTTCTGACTGCAACTTTTCATTATTACTAAAAATACACCCCCCCAACTGCCATCTAAAAGACTGAATGCTGGCCCTGGCACAATTATATTGCCCACCAGCTAATTACCAGAGCTGCCAGTGTTTAAACCAGAATTTTCTTCTTCATATTCCACTTCCTGGTATTGACCCTGACGTGAAGTCCACATTTGTTTCTTAGAAAAACAGAATGTAACATGAAAATCCCAAGACTGAATTCACTGCAGGCTCAGACAAGAAACCGGAAGAAGCAGCTCTTTTCAAAGAAAAAAATATTTTTGCAAAAACACCAGGCTGAATGAAGTTGAACCCAAAGGTCCAATTTGCTGACTGAGTGCCTTCTTAAGTATTTGCATGCCAAACATTCAACTTCTCGTGTTGAATAAGCTCAACGCTTAGAGGATGAAGCCTTAAATGATGTACTATGTGTACATTATTTTTTAAATCACACGATTACCCCAAGATATCACTATACACACACTTTCCTTTTATATATGCCTTTCAGAGATATTCCCCTTGCTCTCACAAAAAGAAAAAAGACATGGCCTCTGGAAACATAATAAAATGGTTGTCTTCGTAGATTACTTTGTCAGTAATCAGGGCAATCATTTTATTATTCTACTTATACTGAGTTTCCAGTTGAAAAAACAAGTAGATTTGTCAGGATAATACAAGAAGTTCATATTTAGCTACTACATTATTATTTGTTGGCATCATAAGCAAGACATTTTGTTCTCTGTAGTCAAAGGGGAATTTTCTCCTCTTTGTAAATTTATACTGGCATAAAGGATTGTGGGAAGGAAACAGATTCTCTATAGTTTTCAAAGACAATGTGACCAGACTACTTTTCTATGACATAAAATATACTTTCTTTCTACTTAAACAGCCTGTTCCATCTAGAAATTCTAGACACTTTCCAAACCGTGAGTTTCCATGTTGATAAAATATTTTTCTGTTTGGAGAATTCATCAGCAACAAACACAGGATCTGTCCATTCTGTCTGCCTCCTCAGTGCTCATAAGATGGAAATTTAGAACAAAAAAACATAAACAAAAGCATTTCATGAGCAGCATTCCTTTTCAGAAGAACAATGGGAACAGGAGTAACATGATAAGATGAAGGAACACATACTCTAAATGAAGCAAAAATAGTCTGTAATTTGTAGCTCAACATTGTCTCTTAGATTTTTCATTAAAACATGCAATGTAAAAGGATATTTATTAGTACTTCAGTACCTGCCAGTGCCAACATCCCACACTGCTACTGTATGGTCAAAGGAGCCGGTGATAATCCTATCTCCAGTGGTATTGAAAGACAACGAAATAATTTCTGCTGAGTGCCCCTGAGAGAATTTTAAAAAAGGAGTACGAGAATGTAATTATTACTTTTTAATTAATGTAGTTCAATATGTAGCTTTTTTTTTCAGCAGTATGATCCTTCTATAACCCTTCAATTTATTATCTACTGTCTTGTCCAGTATATCACAGGTTTTACAGAAAGATCTACTGCGGAACAGTCAATATCCCAACAACTGAAAAAAATCAGGCACAAGCAGTGAGAATTGTCCTGTGATGTCATCAGTGCATATTTTCCACATTTGATTTAAACAGAATCACATTCGTTCATCAATACATACTGAAATCGGATGATTCATTTACAGTAAACTACAGCACAGTTTGTCATTGGTGCTGGTGGAGATGGTTGGAAAAATGAATGTAAACATACTTATAAGCTAAAGGTTGACACATTCCACTGCTCCTTGCTCTGCTCAGGGCTCTGAGGAAGACAAAGCCAAGGAAGATAAAATGCCTTCCTCACTCTATAGGCCACATACACCAAAGAAAGCTTATGCATTACCTGCTATTTAGGATTTATGCAAGAGAAATGCATTGTCACAGCACAGGCCAGTCTGAACCTGTGTAATCCCAGCAAGCCTTGTAGAGCAAAGAGACATCACAATGTAGAGATGGTGGATGGCTGTCCTCTGCTGATGCTTACAGGAAGAAGATTCATACAGATGTAGTGTCTGACATTAATGTTCTCAGAGTTACTTCATGCTAATGCAGAGGTGGTCATAATTTACAGTATAGCAACATGTTTTAATGAGCAATTGAAGGCATTCTAATCTATAATGGCAGTGTCATTAAAATGAGAAATTCCGTCTTTTGATAAATAGGAGTTCTTATAAAATACTACAGCTTTATTATTCCCTTCAAGTGTTTGTAATCTGTTTTGTAACTGCAGTCACTGTGGGAACCCCTGGTAAAAGCAACTCTGCAAGTTTTGAAACTGTTGGAATGGTTATACTGTTATTTATCTCAGAAAACTAAGATAGCAAGGAACATCTTTGAAACCATAAGGAAGACAAACATACACTTAAAGTGACTACTTCTTCTCCTTTCTCTATATCCCATAATTTGGCAGTGGTATCCATGCTTCCTGTTGCCACCAATGTGCTCTGAAGATTAAATGATAAACATACCTGTAGCAAGAAACATTGGATGGAAGAAGTGAGAAAGGAGAGTATTTATATACATTTTCTCAAAAACAATGGGTCAGGATTGATATTTTTTTAAAAAAGACAAAAGTCTGACTTAATATTTTATGCAGAGTTCTTCCAACAGCTCACTAGAAGAGCAACAAATCCTTAACGCATAGCTCTAGATGACTACTCAAATCAAATGGACTAATTGGCTGCTTTGCAATGGCAATGCCTTAAAAAGGCTTACTGGAAGATTTCCTGCATTGTTTTCTGAGCCGTGATTAAAATTCACTATTTAGATGCTTCATTTTGTATCACACAGGGAGAAATTATTTAGTTCACAAAGTTTTAATGAAAAACAAGAATGAAGTAGTTTGAGAATTTATTAACTGCATAGTTAACTGTCACAGAACTATGTATTCAGTATCAGTATCTTTAATACAATAGATAAACTTATGCAATCTTAATAAACAGCTACAAATTTCTAAGTTTTAATCACACACTTTCACACTCCTGCGTGCACACTCACTCATCCCCTCTCACGGGAGGAGTGGGTCACAATCGCCCCCCCCGTTCCTAGCAGCACGTGTTCCCCTACTTGCCCACACCTGCCCTCGGAGACGTGGGCACTCTAGCTTCAGTTGAACCCATGCCACTGCCTACAAGTTGCTGATCCACATTTACATACACACGTCTCATGGGTGTGGGGGGATGGATGACAGGGCCTTCTCGTTGAATTGTCAGGCATACTGACAATCCACTGGCCAGATGCAGACTCTTCATGGTGTCTCCAAAAGGAGGGCTACACTCTCTGGTCTAGGCAGAGACAGTGATGCCCTTGGTGACTCCTGGAAGCACCAGAGCAGGTTTTGACAACTTCCAGACTAATATGCTTTACTTCAAAATTCTACTTCTTTATTTCAAAATTCTCTTTTAGATTCTCCAGTTACTGTTCAATCCTACTGAAAGCCCTCCCTACCACGATCATTTGGTAGGCTTCCACTTTGACTTGGTCAGTTTGGGGCAAAGACCTTCCAGACAGTTTCATGTACCTGCAAACACACTTTGTACACTCACACTCCTGCAGGTGTCATTATCTGGGCCACTTGCCAAGGGCGTCACCACAGCATCATATTTATTTATTAAAAAGCAAGACCAAAAGCTCAACAACTTCCCTAATTCATTTTTCACATTAAAAAATCTTGTAGTCATCTTCCCATTTTCTGTAATTACTCAGTATGATTGTTCTGCTAATAAAGACTAGGAGGTGCCATGTAAAGAGGAAAACAGTAGCTAAGGTGACTGGTGCACTTTCATTATGTCCATTTCTTTTATTACTTTTTTTTTTCATACTGAATAACTATGAACATGCCCTTGCCGGCAAAGTATCATATGCAATAATGGCCTTTCAGAAACAGATCTTATTCAGAGAAACACATAATTTTCTGCTGGTATTATCTTCTACTAATTACTTGCTAGCACAACTCATAACACTTTGGCTCTAATCTAAGGCCTAGAGAAGTCAGAAGAAATTCAGACGCCTTTAAATATTTAGTGAACTGATTTGTTGCAGCAAAATCACTGCAGCCTGTCTCAATAAGCAAACACGTTCTCCATTGTAAGGGATAACTGTCTCAAATTATCCAAAGAATCAAAAACCCACTAAAAACAACATCACGTTCCACCAAGATAAATCACCATCCACCAAACACACTAGTTATAGGCCTAGCAATCTACAAATTAAATTCCAATTGTTCCCGGAAACAATTTCCAGAAACACCTTATTAAATAATGATTGTATAGCCATTTTTTTAAAAAAATATATTCTGCATTGAAATTAGGAGTTTCAGTGGATTTCCCCTGTCCCTCTAAATCTGAACGCTGTGCATCAAGATATTCACTAATGCTAATAGGGATCCCAGTGCATTGGAAAGGAAACCAACCATTTTTAAGCTAAAAATATTTTCAATTCATCTTTGACATTTCAGCACCTCACATATACCCAGATAATACAGTTAGAATTTTAGAAATTCGTTCTTCTGTGGCTCCAGTTGGTCCTGTACATGAAGTACAGATTTCAGCGTGAAAGACAATAAACAAGTAATGAAGTTCTTGTGTATTTAGTTTTGCAAATATGAGAGGCAATGCAAGATATCTAGAAAAAAATGAGATATGTAAACAAATAGAGGAATAAATATGTGCAATATATTGAAAATTCCAATTGTTATGCTGTTTTTCAAAAATGTTTTAACATTGAGCAAACACATGAAATTGGAACAAACTACAAATAAAAATATCATTTCAAACTGCATACAACGTTTTATTCTATTTCTTAAGAACTCTTTTCTTGCACTGCAGAAACATTCACAATATCTGAATGTGTGAACAGATGCAGTAGAATAGCTGCCCCTTCCAGTGTCAGCTCACGGGGACTTGGAACCCACAGCCATCAATGATGGAATAAGGAAACATAAAGGAATAAGAAATGTCCATCAGTACTCACGATTTCTGCACTATGCCCTCTGAAAGTATGATAACATTGTCCTGTTTCTGTACTCCACAATTTGCAGGTTTTATCAAAAGATCCAGTGGCAATCTTGTCACTAAATGGAAAAAATCCTGTCATTTTTATTTAGAAACAAAACTCTGACCTCAGACAGTAAAACTCACAGAAACAATACCCAGCTATTGAATTTTGCCTGCATTTTGGTGCGTTCTGCTGCACTAAAGATCCTGGAGCAGGATTTCACAAACAGAAGTTACATTAATGGAAAAAATTAGCAGACATAATTAGTTTTTGAAAGAGCCGCTGTGCCTATCTATTAGCGCAGAAGTGTTCATAATTGATGACTAATCTAAATTAGGGATGAGGTTATCTGCTGTACTTCCAGATGTATTTGAAAGTTATGTCATTTCAGCAGATAGCATCTGTTTAGCAACAGTTATAAACTCTTTTTATGAGCGGTTTCCCCAAATTTCAGAGGTCGAACACCACTCCCACCAAAGCCAGTGGAAGAGTTGTGATCAACTGCAGTTAGAGCAAGACTGAAGTGAGGTACCCAGAAAATATAGAAAGGGACACTGTATCGAAACCTAAAGATGAGCAGAAAAAAAAGTTCTTTTTTTACTGAACTCATTTAAATTAGCTCAGGGCTCTCATCAGGTTTGACTTGCTATATATTGCATCTCCACTTTCATGCTATAGTCTAGTTATTGATCTTTGCACAGATTTTTGTCATACGCTAGTTCCTTCCAAGTACATAAAAGAATTTCATTAATTGCTTTATTTTTTAAAGTAAAGACTAATATCAGCATATAAGGCATTAACATAGCGGGTCCTAGATTAGATAAAGTCTTCTCATAATATAAGGCGGGTCCTAGATTAGATAAAGTCTTCTCATTTAGAAGGAAATGATAATGCTCTAAATAGCATAAGAAAAAGTCTTTAACTATTATTTCCTGATGTTAATTGTGTATTGCTTAACTGATAAATTGGACGTCTCACAGTGAAAGAAGTAATGTGATTCAATATAAAAATAGAAATTAATTTTCTCATTTTGCTGAGAAGCAAAATTATTTACTTACACACAACAGCTTCCTCAGGCAGCAAATGACAATGAAAGCTCACTAGCTAACATGTAATTCCCTTCACCTAACATGGGACAATTCTAGCCTAGGGCAAACAGTTATTGCAGAAAGCAAAGGATGCACAGATTCATATTTGACATTCATACAGCGGCACCTTGTGGATTTTATAAAAATTACTCAACAGCTGTGACACTAAATCCTGTCCTAAATAATAATGAATGTGTCACACCAAATGGAGAAGTCCACTTTTGTTATGACAGAAATGTTCTTTCTCTTTAACTTCCTCTTTACCTGAAGCAACACAAGATGTCAGAAGTACTTATATCTCATATCATATACAAATTCTAGCAGAAAACAGAAACATTCTTGAGCGTATCTCTGATACAAATAATATACAGTGTTGTTCCCTGGTGATTAGCTATAGTTGAACTTTACAAATTCAAAATTTGAATGCTTTAAATTTGAACTGGTCTATTTGATGTAAAAGTCTGAGTAACAGTCCTGTATTTGCAAAATAACATGATTAGCAATTATGCTGTATCTCAGAGAAAATATATTTACCCATAGGGATTATTGAAAGCTATTGCATAGACAACGTTTCCGTGTCCCTCCAGCGTACGCAGCTCTTCTCCTGATGCAGTATCCCATACTTTGCAGGTTCTGTCATAGCTTCCAGTGATAAAGCTAAAGAGAAATTAATTTGTCAATACAGTAAACTTACTGGTCCTGGTGCATAGTCAAATGAGTTATTTCGGAAATTAACTTCTCAATACAGTAAATAACTTACAGGTCCTGGTGCATAGTCAAATGAGTTATTTCCACAGATTTCAGTTAGCACTGTCTCAGACCCTAAATATCTTCTTTCTTTCAAAAAATAGATTAATGACCATAGAGATTCCTTTTCTTTTTTTTTTAGTATTACTCATTAAAAAACTTGTTTCTAATCTTTAATGGATTTCAACTAGAAAGCAAGCTGTTGCTTTTAAGACATGAAAAAAAATTATTAGGCCCGTGCCCACAGTTAAATCAATTAACATGAAATTCCACTACAGTGAAAGTCCCGAATGACTTTATGCCTAAGATGCTTTTAAGCAGCACAGCTGAATTCTTTGAATTCTTTTTGCAGCAAGATAAGAGCACTGAAATTCTCTTATAATTTAATTTACGAATATAAAACTTCAGTTAGTGATTATGTATTTTGACTTTGAAAACAACTTACCGGGAACCAGATTTGTTAAACGCTACATTAGTCAGTGGCAGTATATGTGCTCTAAGTACCTGAAACAGAAGAAAACAACATCTGATGCAAATAAAAAAAAACAATTGCTTAAAATATTCAATAGGTTAGTATTTTCTCCTCCTCCCAGCAGATTAGCAGTTACAGCTGTAATACATAAATCCCTCACTAAAAAATCTCCCATGCCTCAACAGGTTATCACTGCAGATATTATATAGTATTGATTTCAAATTTATATTTAATTTGAATGAACTGTCTTTTCCACCACGTTTGCTTTTTCTCCACCTTCTCTAAGACGAGCAAAGTAACCCTAGACCAGAGCTGAAAGGACACAAACGAGTGAGGAGATCACATCTAGTGAGATCACAAATGAAAGAAATCCCAACTAATATTAAAGCTTATATAGAGAATCAAGACATCCAGCTGAATTGAGTATTTTGAGTCTTTTAGGTTATGGGATACTTTCAGCTAGTATATGATTTTGTTTTCAAAAACATGAAGAACAGAAACAAGACACATCTACATCCTATGAAGTCATGGGAAAAAAAGGCATGTAGAACCATAACAAAGGTAGTTATCGAGACCAAATTCAAGGAGAGAATTTCAAATTTGATGTGTGCCTGTACTGTGTAGGTTATGGAGGTGGCGGTTTTTATAACGTTGCTTCTAAGGTCCTTCAATCAGACAGTACATATAGTTCATGTAAATTACATCATAGCCATAATAATACATATTAAGGTTTATTAAACATATGTGAAAATTATTTCAGATATTGCCAGTGAAAGTCAGTGTGCTGTGATACCTTGAAAATGACCAGAAAAAAAAATATCTGATATATGTTTGAATAAGGTGGCTACTGTATAACAGGATTTGCATTTAACAACTTTCATGGATTACAAGCTGGCTTCTGCTTGAGTCTAAAGCATAATAAAATCATATCCTGGAAAATCCCAGCAATTGCTGATAGTGAAGTAAAGGGATGTTAAAAATACAGCAGTGATTCCCTAGGTCTTCTCTGCAGTGTAAGAATGAAAAAGAAATGGTTTATGAGCAATGCCACTTAAACACTGACATATTACCAGAGCTTCAACTTTTTGTTCTTATCTCTACCTTTCTCCAAAAGAAAAACAAAAGGAGCTTAGAGATTATCTGCTGAGAAGAGTAGGGACTGATAAAACAGAAATAACAATGGTCAAGTGAAGGACTGAGAGAGACAGAAAGAGAAAACGTATTTTATGTTAGAGAAACAGCAATTTCTATTCTCTACAGAAAGTAAGAAAAGTTGTACTTTCAGCTCCAGAAGTAGGAATAAGCAATCAAGATGTGGAAATGACAAAAATATTCTGCTTTTTTTTTTAAAAACAGCCACAGCATACAAATATCTAGATACAAGAATGGATAATCACAGAAATTTGTGAAAGTTTGACCCATGACATTTTCAGTGTTCCATGCAGGCAGCTCTGAACAACAAACATCTTTAACAATTATGAGAAAAAGGGAGGAAAACAAGATGGGCTTATGTTCAATTTTAGATCACAGGACTAATTCTGTTCTTCCAATGCCCAGTGCTGCAGTTGCTTCATCCACAGAACTCTAAGCCAGTAAGAATTGCTTGTGTAAATGATACAATAATCAAACCCTAAGGCAGTATTTAAAAAATGTACCTCGATTCTGCAAAATCTGCTACAACAGTCCCCAAGATAAAAAATCTGCAAATCACTACAGCATAGCATTGCTATGTAATAGTTTAAAACCTGAGAAATTGTTACAAAAGCTTGTTTCTCTGCAGGGTGCCTTAACACAACACCGTCACCACAATTACTGGAAATAACAAAAAGATGGGTTTATACACTCATTTAAGATTATGCTCCAGTGCAACAGGAAAAAATATTCATTTCCAAACAATGTGAAAACATGGAACATTTTTTGAAAAAAAAAAAAATTCTCACTCCCACCCACCTCTTGCATTTTATTAGTGTCTCAAGAGCACCTGATACTCATCTTTTCTTTACAAGACATACAGGGAACTGAAACATAAAACAAACTCATTTCACTCTTCTAACCACTCTTGAGTGAAGGAAATAAGCCAGCACTGATTGGATTTGCCAGTCTCTAGTACTTTGAAATTCAGAAGCTCTAATGTGGCGCTATACCCAACCAAAACCAAATACTTTATTTACACTGAAATTTGAACAAGCATTTGATGATTCGCCAGCCTCTGTGATGAACACAGAATTTTAAAAGCTTATGAAAAGCAAGGCATTACCTCAGTTTAGAGCATACCTCAAAACAGAACAGAAATTTTTTAAATTTAAAATGCCTAATTACATAGCTCTGTTTTCAAGGTTAAATACACAGATCTTTGCAGAATTCACCCAGATGTGTAATGTTGGTCAAAAGAATCCAAGTTATACCGAGCAACTTGTAAGGGGTTTTTTTAGTCAAACAAACCAACACAATTTCTCCCTTTCCTCTAAATTTAAGGTAACAATCAATAATATAGCACTGACTGGCAATTTTTAATGGCTACACATTGCCATCTGCTGACACCGTAAAGATATAACACTTAATTATTTCCGATTCCAACATGCAATCTTTAGAAGTAATTTTATTTCCACAATGAAATGCAATTAAACCCATTCTCTTCTGATGGACTGAGGCCTGGATTTGAAACCCTCATTGTTCTTTAAAAATTTGCTTTAAATGAGTAAGTTTTTTAAGTACTGTCTGTAAGCTGAAGACAAGCTTTTTCCAGCAGCTAATTTACTAGCGATATATTTGCAGGTTTTGTTCAAACAAAAATGGGTGTTGCTGGTCCCCACAGCCTTATTTGACAAACGAGAATTCCTTCTCTCCATCCAAAACACACCCTTGTACATAAGCCTGTGTAAACAGTGTCCAGGAACAGATATACCTCCCAGGCTTTTCGGGGAATTCCTGGCAGACGTAACAAGGCCAGACTCAGCTGCTCTGATCAGTGCAGAACTGACTGAAAAGAGCCAAGAAATCAGCCATAAAGTTCAAATTTTGCTCTCATGTACAATATGCAGCAGAACATCCCAACTGAAGCCCCCCAAAATGCCCCAAAGATGTCTCTGACCTTAAAAAGATAGAATTTGTGATCCTCTTTTTCTTCTAACTTCTCTTGCAATCTTCGTACTAAACGTATGACGTGGTCCTTGCATGAAGCTGTGATGAGAGGTTCTTCTTTTCCAATTTCTTCTACTAAGGCTATGGCATCTGTGCTAATTACGAGGGGAAAAAAATAAAAAAAAAAACCAAACAAAAAACCCACCCAAAACCCACCAGATTTCATCCTCTGGCAGTAATTATGAATATAAACCCAAAAATATTATGTGCTTGCAGAGAAACTGAAGCAATTAAATTATATGCGCTTATCTCCTTCTTTAACTACTTAAATAAATATGGATAAGTCTTTCTTGATTTCTCTACTTCCTTCCTTCTCTTCAGTAAGATTTAACTTTTTAAAATGTTAGCTTGGCAAGAAATTTACCTTTTCAAAGGGTTTCCATAGAGGGTCAGACATGGGAGATGTGTATGCAAAACTGATAGCTTTGGAATAAATATCTAAATTAAAATGAAATTTCATAAATTCCAAAAGAAATGCCCATGAAGTAGCAACACCATAAATTATATACAGAAAGTGTTAAAATTATCTCTGTGGCTTCATAAATCTATGCCCGTTCCTGTTACTCTTAGTTGTAGGAATAACTTCCAAACTGTGGTCCATGGTCTATTGGTGACCATGGAGCCCCCAGGAAGCGGTTCACAGCTAGTCTTGGAATTGGATCATCTTTCCATATCATCAGATAAACTGCTGATTCCTGGCAATCCATGAGAAACTGAGGGTATCAAAGTACCAACATATACTTAAAACTAGTCCTAGCAAGAAAGCCTAGCATTTCTGTTAATATGTAAATTATTGCCATCTAAAGGGGATTTTCTTTATCAGTCTTCTAGATGGAGGCCACTAACAACATCCCCATAAATTAGTATCCTCTTGGGTTTTATACTCCTGTTAAGAAATACCAGACAATTTAAAAATTAGTAATTTTTAAATTTGGATTTTTCACCTTGCATGTACAGCCTACAAATAGCTGATGAGAGGGAATGAAGCAGAGGGAGCCAGACATTTCTCAATACTGCCCATTAAGAGGACAAGAGCCAATGAGCACAAATTAGAAGAAAAAAGAAAAAAAAAGACTAGGAAATTCAATCTGAACTCAAAAATACACTTATACACCTTTCTCTGTAAGAGTGGTCAAACACTGAAATAGGTTTCACAGAGAGGTTCTGGAGTCTCCATCTGGGACATATACAGAATCCAACTACACACAGTCTTGGTCCACCTACTCTAGCTGACCCTGCTTTAGATGGTCTCAAGAAGTCCCTTCCAACCTAAACGATTTTCTGATTCTGTGACATGCCATTATGTTCTGCCACCCAACGCACAAAATAGCCACTCAAGTAACCTCTCAAGCACTGGTGCATAAATTGTACGTAGCAATATTAAAGCTAAGTAACTTCTTAGGTCAACATTCTCATTGCAACAAAGTTGTCCTATTCCTCACAAGGAACACACCTAAGAGTTTCAGATGGGTGTGTTCCAACTGACTGTAAGTCAGAGGCAGCTGTGATTGAGTATTGTCCTCTACTAGCACATCTCACTTGCTTCCTTATGAAGTAACCTCTGCCTTCTATCTTACCTAAAGATATGCTACCAAACGTAAATCTAAACTTAATTTTGAAATACATTGTATTTTTTATTCTTCAGTTAGGCCAATCCTTGATTTTCAGATATAACAAGCTCCTGCAATTTCTCTCATCTTCAGTAGGAGACTAGAAAATCAGATTATGCACTCGTACTTGTTCTTTCAAAGAAGCCAACTGCAATTAGGTTTGCAACAAAGGAAGCCAGAAAACTTCCATTACTTGCAACAGAAGCAAATACTAAGTTTCTCCACATAAACATACAAGAGGGAATCCCTTACTTGCCTGTCTTATACCACCTTACCTATGGTTGTTATGAGGATTAATTAATTAGCAGGAGAAATCTGAACTGATGCTTACTTGTTATTTTCAGTGTTTTTGACAGAGGTCATTTAAACCAATGTACCAGGGGGGCTGAGTTAGCACCACTGTTTGAAAACATTCTGAAGACCAGAAATACTATTACAGGACCTAAGAACTAAGTGATATTCACCACAGTAATATTCAGCTGGAATGCAAGATTCTGTATTTAAAATAAAAGGAGAATGATTTGACTATGTTATTTTCTTTTCTCTGTGTGTGCTTTAGTGAACAAAGATATAGGTAACCCCAATTATGTTTAAAACAATCACACAGAGTTGTATATGAGCATGCTACAAAACAGCAGAGTGCGCTTTTATCTGAAATAATATCATACTTACTTAGGACTAAGATCAAGTAGATCTATACATCTGGTCTTTGGCTCACCACCTTGTACATATTCCAGAATAATTCCTTTAAAAAAAAATGTAATAAAAAGGTCTTAATTAGATGTCCAAGATTGTATAATATGCACTGTAGAAAGCAATGCTTCCACTTTTATTGCTCTACTGACTCCAGCAGACCTCCCTCCAGTTCTTGGAACTAGAAGGAGATTGGCTGCTCTTGCTGAGAGTTAGCAGGGTGATGAACAACTCTGATGTGTTTATACAATAAAAGATATTAAACATTATCATTTATGAGCCATTTTCTATTCTGGAAATGGATGAGCTCTTTTTTCCCCAACAACCTTCAGTATTTCATCAGTTCTATTTTCAAAGAAGCTGTCCTGAAGATACTTGCTGTAGTTTGGTGTTCCAAGAAGCATGGAAAACATGTTTTACAAAACTCGTTGTATTTATTTCAGTATTTGCAAAGGCCTGTATGCAGTAATGTACAGAAAATCATAACACACTTTCCATTTCTTGGTATGCTCTGGCACCTCTCCACCTTCTGCAGAAGCATTAAAATATTTAACCACATAGCTTCCTGTTTTTAAACAGTTGTTAAAGAATTCTGCTGCTCCTTGGCTTTCTGTGGGAAAAGATAATTAGGTGAATTTTTATGTAATTTTGCATTTTACCAAGTTCATAAGAAAAGTTATTAATTTGAAAGGAAGATCTGTTATTACAATACACTTCCTGAGCTGGCCATCTCTATCATGCTTTACTTCTGAAAATTCATTAAGTCTCTTGAGTTCATGATAAACAATGAAGAGGGCTCAGCAGCACAGCTTGTCAAAGCGTGGTTCTGCTTAGAAAATTCACGGAATAAAGAAAAAAAAAATAAGAAATGCCGCAACTTGTTTTGCTTTTGATAACACATATATGTTTTTTGGTGCCAACTACAGTCACTTTTTACCTTTTAAACCCCTTACTGCAATGCAAACAAGATCGCCCTGATTCCAGAAAGGAATTCTTTCCTGTGAGGGTGGTGAGACACTGGAACAGGTTGCCCAGAAAGCTGTGGATGCCCCATCCCTGGAGGTGTTCAAGGCCAGGCTGGATGGGGCTTTGAGCAGCCTGGTCTAGTGGGAGCTGTCCCTGCCCAGGGCAATGGGGTGGAAATTGATCACCTTTAAGGTCCCTTCCAACTCTAACCATTCTATGACCCTATGATTCAATTTCTCAATGGTAAGTCATTAATTACAGCCCCCCACAGCTGCTTCCAGTTGGAAGTCCCACCACCAACCTCAGGGCCAAAATACCTGCACCTGAAGCCAACCCAACGCCATCCACCTGCTTACTCCTGCCCTAGCCCATCACAGAGGTGAGGAAGACCTCCATTACAGGAGACACCCACAGCCCCCCCCCCCGCGCCTCCCTGACGGGGCCGCCCCAGCCCCACGGCAATCCCCACGCCTGGCCCCAGCCCCGCCGAGCCCGCACGGTTCCCTGTCAGGGCAGGGAACCGTCCCGGCTTCCCCGTTCCGTCCGCTCCGCACCGGGCGGGTAGTAGCGCAGCAGCAGCCTCCTCAGCTTCATCCTCCTCCTCCTCCTGCGGGCTTCGCTCCCGTTCCCATAGCAACGCCCCAACAACGCCTCCGCGCATGCGCCAGCGGGCTCGCCTCTTAGGGGCCTGGGGTTAGAGATGGCGGCGGCTCTTCAAGGCCCTTAGGCCGGGATTTTTGGCATCCACAGGGATGGCGGGGCGTGAGGGAGGCACGGTGTGGAGAGCTGAGCACCAGCCCTGGTAGCTGCGCAGCCATGTTCTCCTCCTGCCCCGGCTGCGCAGCTAAGGCCTCCTGTGCATAGACTCATAATTATCCCCCCGAATTCTATCTACCTTTTATTGCCCTTTCACTTGGTATCGCAAGGCTTTTCTGCAGTTTCCACAGCTCGCCCTGACGCAAACTGCTCGCCCTACGGAATTCCTCCAGAGCCGCGAGTTTCTGAAGTATCGCGTCCGCGGAGTACACTAAAAAAAACCAAAAATCATAAAGTTGGGAGCGCTAAAGAGTCACCAGTGACGGCATAACAAATGGGTGAAAGCTATTTGAAAAGAAAATAGTCACTTAAGGAAAACAGGCAAAGAGTAGAAAGGGGAAAAAAACCAAACCCCAATCAGCTTAGTTTTTCAAAAAGAGACGCAGGCCAGAGACATGAGTATGAAAATACTCTTTCATCAAAGTGAAGAAAAATGTACCAGAAAAGAGAGAACCAACACAGAATCATTAAAATATTATTAATAGAACGAAATAATCGAGTCAAGCTTTATGCAGAAATGACCGTAGAGCATCAATAGGGGGAAGCAGTGAACACGTTTTCATTTAGCAAATCTGGTAGCCCATACTGCTGACCACAGGTCAACAGAAGACAGTTCCGATCAGCGTTTAACGATACGTGACTTTTCTGAAAACACCCATATGGCTCCCTGCAGCTTCACTTTGAAGATAGTCCTTTGATTCTTGAAAGCGAGGAAGTAAAGCACAATGGCCAATTCCAGATTTACTCTGGGACATGACTGAGGGACAAAGCGGTCTCTGGGTTTTTCATTGCTATTTGTTTGTTTTAATCTTGTGTCTTATTTGTATGTGGAAAGTCTTGAGGCAGATAAGAAATATTTTTATTAAAACAAATAATCAGAACAACTTCCCAACTGAATTGACTTACGTGGAACAACCATATTCAAAACCAACTTTCTAAACAACCTCTAATCTTGGTGGTCTCCAATTTCTTAACAGCTTTTTGTATTTGTTTAACATAATATGTATCCACACAGATTATAATTTCTGAATATTTTTCTTGTTCTTTTAACTTAAGTGATATTACCGATGAACATGGCATGGGCACTGCTTCCTACATTAACACCTGCTTTGTTCTTCGTAAACACACATTTGTACACCCTTTCAGTATTACTTAACACCAACTAGAAGTGCTACATTTAATTTTTTTAGTCAGACTAGATACTTTTCAACAACATAAATGAGTATCTGCAGCTCCAATATAATTTATATGGTAAACACCGCTTCAATACTGTATGTCTGGGTTTCATTTGCATCATCGAATCAATTATTGCGATATTCTTGAGCAATCATTTTTTCAAGGTTTTGCATATCATATGCTAACAAGCTTTTTTTGTGTTTGCTTTTCATGAGACACTGAAAGGGAAAATGCAGCCCAGTCTGAGCAGAGGAGAGGGAAGTGGAAAGGCTGCAGAGCTCCATGACGTCAGTACAAGGCGGTTCGGCACATTCTCTCCTCACTTGCTGTAGATCTCCATCTGAACATGCACACCTCACAGCTTGTGTCATTACCTGGGATTAAGAAGCAATGATGACACTGGAGGATGATAAATCAAATCAGACCTCGACTCTCACCTCCTTCTTCTGCTTCTCTAAGCAGAGTATTCAGGAGCAGTGGAGTCGCAACAGAAATCAGTCCCTCTTAGCTCTAGGCCTGATATCCAGACTGTTCCAGGGAGGCACTGCCATAATGGCATTGCTTGCTCTGTTCCTATACAGGAACTAGAAAAAATTGCTGACCACCTGAGTGGGAGACAAAGAGCTAACACTATGCTGAGATGAAGTTTTTCCCCAGCGCCGCCCAGTACAGGTCTGTCTGCAAAATAAATATATAGTAACTAACAGTATGTCTTTTTGACAAAACAGAACCAGAATTGTAGCAGAGGCGGGATTACCCAAGGAGATTTTAGGCAGCAAAGATAAAAACTGCAGTGAGGGAGTGAAGGGGAGGACTTAAACACAGCTAATTATTTGAGGACTAGTCAAGCAGGGAGCCTGATGATACAGCAGACTGAGCTGAAATCCATACCACTAAACCTCGACTGTGAAGCAGAAATTTAACACTTTTTCAAGTTCGGGGAAATAGGCAACTAGTGTATACTTTTAGAAGGAAAATCTTTAGGCTGCTGGGACAAAATTGTCACCCTGATACTTTTTAGCATCCAAAGAGTTCGCACAGCCTCTAAGCCATGGAAGGACTGCTTCCAATAATCTGCATGCACACTGTGGAGAGTTCAAAAAGACCTATCATGGAACTGAAAAATTAATGCTGAGACATACAGCCAGGATCTCCAGCAATTTTTATCTCTGGATGAGATAACCAGTCTTTACGTACAGTATTGATGTTATCAGCCTGGAAAGATAACTTATACATCAGTTACTCTCTGTGCATTTTTGCTTACGTCAGCAGTTTGCAGGAGTGGCAGAAAGTTAAGATACTGTAAACCTCACTATTAGTCAATATTCAAAAGCCTTTGAAAGGCTGCAATATACACTTAATCTAGAGTGCTGAAGACAACTGTGTTGGACACTATGAAGCAGAAGTAATACAGTTACAATTAAGGGCTTCCTTTTGAGAGCTCTGGGTTCTTCCTGCCAAAACAGGTCTGAAATCTCTCTTTTCTTGAGCCAAAGTACTGTCCTGAGAAGAATAACAAGAAGAAAGTGTTTCTGACTCAAACATACTCTTGCTTGCAGAGAAGAGTGGGTTTTAGGCTTCCTGATTTAAAGTTGTATTATGACCCACTTGTTCTGAAGTAGGTCAGTCTGTGGTATGCTGAACTAAATCAGAAAGACCAGCCCAAGAGTAGTCTGAGTTAAGGGAAAGATGTAGAAAGCCACTTCCTATTTCTGTTATGTTAGTAATGGGTGCAGCAAATTTTTACTAAGGGGAGTTTTTCCACGTTGCCCTTTCTTGTGTGCTGTCCTTTCTCATCATTGTCAGGTCTGTCAGCTGCAGGACTGTGCTCGGATATTTCCTTGTTTCTGCTTGGTGAACCAAAGGGGTTTAGGTCATGTTTTTCAAGGTTGCTTTATTCTGACGGAGATAACCTGCTTCCTCTTGCCCAAGCAGACACCACTATCCACACACACTTCTGTCTGTATTGTTAGAGGTCCTTCTCACTTCTGCTCTGTTATTTCCAATACTAATCACAACACCACAGCCATCAAAAATGTTAAAACTATTTTACTTGTATAACGAACATGATCTTCTGGGAGTTTGCTCTTTGCTAAGCAAGAGCTGTTCTAGCAGAAAGAGCTGACAGTGTGTTATAGAACAGACAGAGCACTCTCTTTCCCAAAGATTGTTTTTCATCTTTGCGTGGCTGCTTTCATCAATTTAAAGTTATCTCGAATAAAGAAAAAAAAATTACTAGTTGCAGTTTGCCCAGAAATTGTGCCATGTGCAAGTTTCTGTTCACATGAATAGATGTATGTGGTGTTTACCTACAGTGAGATAATAACAAGTACCAGAAAGGAGAAGTAGTTCTCTTCTTTGCTCGTTCCTTCCATCTTCAATTGCTGACATACTGCTTACATATCCCATGCAGTCAGGCAAATTCCATACATTCTTACTTGTTTCAGTCAAATTTTCACTTAGTTGAAAAAAGGTTTTCCTTTCTGTCCACTTTTTAAGGGAGAGCCTTTCCTCTTAACCTTGCCAAGTGGATGGGTAGACCTGACAACAAAAAAAACCTCAAAGCAAAAAAACCCAATAAAATATATTTATCTTACCCTCTCTGAGAGGAACTCAGAAACGCCTTTAATTCTCTTTCCATGGTCTAGACTGGAGGGGGCTGAAGACCTTTTGGTTAGGGAGAGCTCTGCGTCATCCAGCCAAGACGGCAAAGCTGACGGTATCGGGTAATTACGCAAGTATTCTGCAGTCAGATTGTCTGAGCTGCAAGATGAAAGCCAGTGAGTTATCCGGATGCACCTAGTGAGGAAAATAGAGGAGCACTTCCACATAAAGCTAACACACAATTGAGACAAACCACTTTGAGTCAGGAGAAAGCTAAAAGCTCCTGATGAGGAACAGGATTTCTACTAAGTCTACAATAAAACTGGAAAACATAAATAGTGAAAACTACTTTGTTTTAGAAAATGCAGTTTCATTAAAGTGAAAGTGTGTTTATTTCACCATTTTTTTTAATTAAAAAAAGTCAAGATAACTCATTTGGTTTCTATATTTCATTTTTATAATGCCAACATTCATTAAGCATTTCACATAAAACATCACGTTTTCTACATATCTATATGTCTTCACTAAGAGCAGTAGTCCTATTGCATTGCCTCTGTGTTTCTTGTACTCTAAGTTTCTTTACCATCATTTTGATGTACTTCATGTGGATGTGCAAAACAACATATGTGTATATCATCCAGTCAGGGCAATTAGCATTAAAACAGCACTGGCCACTTTCAAATTCATTAAACATTTTTGGCCTGCTCTCAGGGCGATCTGGAGCATGGTATAGAGTGAACAACTTTTTTGAGATTTGCGGTAGCTCAGGTATCTTCGAGCTTTACGTTGTCTCTGAAAGACATCTTGACCATTTATTCCTAGTCATAGCAATATGAAACATTGTCCTGGTTTGAGGTAAAACAGAACTAATTTTCTGTTCAGTAATTTTACTTTTTTAGCTGGGCCTCTTCTAACTAACTAAACTCTGAAATTAAGAACATATTATTCAGAAACTGTTTAGTCTTAGAGTGATAAGACCTGATTATACCAAGGAATGGTATGCAGACAGGCCCTTGCTTATACTTAT